GCATGACTAAAATTAAAGCAGGCGTTTTAACTGCTGGCTTTCAAACATGGTATGGGATATGTTTACTGCCAGAGCTGGGAGCTGTGCTCACCATCTTGACTCTTAAACCTTTTTTGTCTGTATGAGTGAAAGCTAAATCTGCCATGCAGCATGCTGCTGGATTGGAGATCTGGTCACTTCTGGTTGTACACACCATTCAATTGGTAGCAGGGCCTCTTAAAAAAGCCATGCAGTTTTTGCCGCTAATATTGAGTCAGCAAGCCTCCCTTAAAGGCACCGTGAGCCTCTGCTTGTCTCTAGCAAACAGAGCCCACCCGAGAAAATGCTGCTACCAGGAAGCTGTGCTTGTCTCTTTTCTTTTGTTTTTAGAATCCATTTTTAAGTTCTTGTCAGGTTTTACATGGAAATTCATGCATTGGGCACCATTTTGTTGCTGTAGTTTTCTGTCCTGCCAGGCTCTTCTGTGGCTTCATGGTGCAAAGATGTGTTACATTCTCTTATGTTTTGCTGGTTTAACTCTGTGAACCTGTGCTACTTTGCCTGCCTAAAACACCTGATGTTCTAATAAAGAGCTGAATGGCCAATAGCAAGGCAGGGGAGAGAAATAAGTGGAGATGGCAGGCAGAGAAAATAAAAGAGGAGGAGAACCCTGGGAAGAGAGGAGCAAGAGAAGGGACCAGCCACACAGCCACACAGCCACACGGCCACACGGCCACACGGCCACACGGCCACACAGCCACACAGCCAGGCATGGAATGAGAATGAAGGAAAAGATATACAGAAAGGGAGAAAGGTAAAAACCCAGAGACAAAAAATAGGATAGTTTAAGTTATTAGAAGCTGGCAAGAAAAAAAAAAAAAAAGTCAAACTAAGGCCAGGCAGGCCAGGCATTCATAAGAAAAAAACTTCTGTGTGTGTTTATTTGGGAGCTGGGTGGCAGGCCCCCAAAAGAGTAAAAAGAAACCAACAACAACATCTTGGTGTTCCAACGTAGGGCTAGATTAAACAAGACAAGACAAAAAACAAGACAAAACAACACCAACAACACCTTACCTTACTTTTTTGAGACAGTGTTATTCACTGAGCCCAGGGCTCAACCATTCAGCAAGGCTGGGTGGCCAGCGGTCTCCAGGGATCAGCGTGTCTCTGTCCTCTGCACAGAGTTTATATATGTGTGCTGCAGTCCCTGTCTTCTGCCTTTGGGGATCTAAAGTTTAGATCCCCGGGTCCTCATGCTTATGCAATAGGCACTCTTCTGAGTAAACCATCTCCCAAGCCCTGTAACTCCTGATAAGTCACTTACTGTCTTGGCGCTGCAATTTCTCTTTTACAAGATGGGGACACTAAAATGTGCCTCCCTCCCAGAGTGCTGGCCTTAACCAAACGTATGACAGAGACTTGTAAACTCAAAGGGTGATGTAACTATGGGTCACTACTACTGGTGACTCCTTTATCCCCTTGCTCTCCCCCCCCAGACTGCTCTGGGGGAAACCTGTGTTTCCCCCCCCCCCCATCACTCTGCTGTTGGTTTGATTTGAGGGCTTTGGAAGAAAGCCCGAGACTGGGAAACCTATTCTGCCCTTCATTGTGATGGGCAATGGAATGCAGCTGGCTGTTTTGGGGGCCATCAGCACTGCTGGTTTTCTCAGGCCCAGAGAACCTGGAGGAAATGTCAGCAGGGGTTCAATTTGTTATTCACAATATTAACAGGAAACATTTGGAATCAAGAGCTGTTATTTACAGATTCCATTACTCTGTTAGCTGATAAAAATACTTTAAATCTTGCTGTGTGTGGCGTGTGCTTGTGATTGTGTCTGTGCACGTCTCTGTGTGTGCACAGAAGAAAGAGGAAGATAATGGGTGTCCTGCTTCGTCATCTCCCGCCTATTCCCTTCTGAAGCTCACTCCGTCGGCTATACTGGCTGGACAGAGAACGCCTGGAATCTGCTTGTCTCTGCTCATCAAGGCAGGGCATGCAAGGTCATGCCACATGATCAGGTGGGTTCTGGAGGTCAAACCCAGGTTCTCCCAAGTACATGGCAAGTGTGCTCACTTAACTGACCGGTCCCCACAGTTCTTCAAAGTGCTTTTATAAAGCAAGTGGCAATGACGGGCTGGATGCTAAACTTAAGATCACGGAAGAGAGACCAGATGAGAGAGAAAACTGAGTGGAGAGATTATAAGGGAAATGGCCAAAGAGCTTGGGAGAAAATCCATCTGCTTCCAGATCTCAGAGTTGATTTTATCCTTGTCTGTTTGTTTCGTTATTGTTGTTTGTTTGCTTGCTTGCTTATTTGCCTTTCTCCCCATTAAGAAACAAGATACTATGATAAAAATGTGTTTACTGGTAAATTCTTATGTAACACACAAAGAAAAATGAATGACCCAGAGACTTCAAGCTGAAGGTCAAAGAACACAGGAAGTGACCGCTAGCTCTCACCTCTACCTCAGGCTGAAAGCCCTGATCCTCACATGAGCCCTCACCAAGTCTCAAACTGCCGCCTCTCCTCAGTGTGGCTGGAGAAGGAAGCCTCTCTGAGACCTCGCTTCTGTCTTACATACTTCCCTAATGTTGGGGTTAAAGATGTGAGCTATAATTCTCTTTCAGACTGATTCACTCATGAGTAGTGGCCTTGGACTCACAGAGATCCATCTATCTCTTAATCCCCAGTCCTAGGATTAAAGGTGTGTACCACCACTGCCTGATCTCCACAGTCTGAGGCTAACTTTGGTTCTCTGAATCCACAGCCAAGCTTTAATTAAATCATAAGTAATATATCACTACATTCATGCAGTAAGAACACATTTTAAAAATCTGTGTACAGGCACAATGTCTAACTTTTGGCTTCCCCGAAAAAGGAGGAAAGAGATGTCCTTATCAGTTGTGGACAAAACCGGATGGGATGCATGGCCTGTGTGCTCTGTGGGTCAGAGAAAACATTTTCTAGTGAGTGCCTTCTTTCCATGTCTCAAATCTTGAGCAGAAATCCAGCATTGAGGGTTTCTTGGGAAAGACTAGGTTCCTTCAGCTTTTGTAACCCGTGGTGAGTGAGTCGCTGGGAGACCCTTGATGGAAGTGGCAGAAGCCTAAGGAACACAGCAGACACAGGACTCTGCGGCCATTGAGTACATTATGGGAGAAATACAGTACGGAACGCAGCAGGCTTCTGCAAACAAGGCATCCCTTTAAGTTAATTGGTGTTATATAGAAGCTGAAACGCTCCGCTTATTTACAAAGCTCCAGATTTATGTAAAGCAAAACCAATTACACTTAATGCCTAAACTATTCCAGGTGCTCAGCGATAATGTCGCCAGGCACTAAAGAAGAAACTGCCGTGTGAATGCACCCTGTTCCAAATGGAAGCCTGTGTAGTTACTGCAATTTAGCTAATCACAAGCGTCAACGCCAGCGTGCGAGTTCTCGGCTCTTCTCCTGCTTGCTTTGGGTCAATTTTCTAATTTCTGCAGACCTTTCATCGCAGAGGAAGAGTGAAAGCGCAATGAGCACCCTTTTTCCCCGTTAAAATGTGGAAATTAAGGCGGTGAAGGGAAAGTTGGGAAAGGGCCAAAGTCATGCCAGGCCTTTTTCTAACAGCAAGAGCCAGCTATGACTTTTCATTTACACCAAGGCGAGGTGTTTGGAGCTTTCTTCATCTTCGGGGTGTTCATTATGAGACCAACGCACTAGATACTGCTCTAACGAGGACCCTTTGGGGTGTTCATTAAGCCCAAAATTGCAAGCTTGGCATTTAACCTTTGCCAGCAAGGAAGGTTGTAAGAGCATCAGGCTTGGCCCTGCTGATTTGCCTGGGGTTTATGCAAAATAAAGGTTTTGAAAAAGTTGTGGGGAAGGCTGGTCTTTTTTTTTTTAAAGGAGTGCTCTAAACTTAACTGGCAAATAGCCAATAGCTGGAGTAAGAAAAACACCTGGTGTTTACAGCTGTAAGAGCATTTAAAAATGCACATTGAAGCCTAGTCTGGCTACATCTTTTATTCCACAGCTTTAAGCATTGACTGCATCAGCAAGAGGTGTGGGGGTAGGGAGGCTCAGTCATGTCACTTGCAGTGCACTGGTAAATGCTCTAGCCCAATCCAGCATAGTCCCAGAGGGGAAGTAAATGAAGGGCACTGGTGAGAACCTTCAGTATCTGGGTACCAGTGGGGAAGAACTCAGGTTAGGCTCATCAACACAGGCAGTGGGCGGGGTCAAGAAAGCATCACCTGGAGCAGGAGGCTCACAAGCCAAGCCTTGAGACAAACGTTGACAGATGGACAGGACTCATTTTATTCAATAATAACAATAATTAATAATAATAATAGAAGACTGGCATGGAGGTACCTAGCCTGTAATTCCAGTTTGTTGGTCTTCCTCAACTACACAGTTAAGCTTGAGGCCAGCCTGGACTGAATGAGACTTGTTCCAAACCTAACAAGACCAAATGAAATCAAGCTACCTCTATTTTAGTATTATTGCCTTGAAATTAAAAAAAAAATTTTCCTTCATCAAGATATTTTTTAGTGGAATAATAAAGTCTAATATAGCAGAATTATATCACATTATCATCTGCCTAGACTTATATTATCTATGGTCATACTACCTAGAATGCAGTAAAGACTTGGTGAATATATAGAAAGAACAATATAAACATAGTGTTTCTTAGCTTCTAATGACATGAAAATTATAATTATAACTTTTAATTGCTCAACCAGTGTAAAGGTTATATGATATGATTGACATGCTGGTATAGAAAATGATCATTTTCTGGTCATAGAGTAATCGCCAAGCTGTTAAAATCACTTGATTAGGTCAAAAACATATATCAATACAAAAGCATAGCAGTTTATTAGAGGATTGTAACTGTTCTTTGTAAGTAAAGTACATAGATAGCATCCATAGTTACTTTCGTTTATGTTGACTTTCCCAGTAAAATGTATAAAGTGTTCGACTGAAGGAGAAAATAATGAATAGGGGTGCTCACAAGACAGAGTCAAGTCCAGTTTCATAGGGCTGTCTCCCAAAGATCAATACTTGACGATGTTTCCTGTGTACTGCCATAAAACTTCAGAGACTTTTCCCAGAGAAGAGTTTCTTCACGATTTCCTCCACTGACGCTCTGGGCATTAAAATGATTTAGATTACAATATCTAAAGAAAGAAAGAAAGCCAGCTCTCCTTAGGAGCAGATGTAGATGACTTGATAAATCATTGACTTCCCTCCCGTGCTTGCCTACCCTTTATGATGGCACCTCAGGGGTCATTATTTAAGAGGCAGTTTTGGTACAAGGACAGGAGAGTTCTATTTAGTGCGTAGTAAGGCTTCTTATAAGGACCTTTAGCTAGGTTCTCTTTATTATTGAGATGAGGTATTGCCATGTAGTCCAAGCTCTCTTGCAACTTGCTATGTTGTCTAGGCTGGTTTGAACTGGGGCAATTCTGTTGCCTTAGCTTCCTAAATGCTGGGATAATAGGGTAGCACACACCATCATGACCAGCAGGTTGGTGTTGGTTTACAACCTCCTGTGAGTCTCTTCTGTATTGTCTGTGAGAGAAGCCCTGAAATTTTATTGGCGGTGGATTTCATGGCTGCTTGGACTCCAAGGGCTCATCAGATGTGCTGTGTATTGTGCTGTACTGATCAGACGTAACATGAATTTGGTGCTGAGACCATTGTCAAAGGAGTCTATGACCACATTTTAAGCAGGTCTGCTGTCCACCCCTAACATCAGAGAAACTTAGCTTTCCAGAATATCTTCTCTGACCATACTACTCTGGGAGGAGCGATTGTTCCCATTTTACACACTAGAAACCTGAAATGTAGGAAGCAAACAAACAACTTCCTTATGGCTTACATAAGTTGTGAGCAGGACTACACTTATTTATGAATCAAACCCGCCTTAGCGCATAGTCCTTTGTCTTTGCTTGCTGTACTCTCTAGGGTTGGACACTTTCATCCTTGTTTTCACCACCTTCAAGGGCTCACTCAACAACCACGGGTATTTGAATGTTTTAGATTGGACAGTGACCTCATCCCCTGTGTACTAATGGAGTCTCCTTGCTTCCGCATTGTTTCTTAGTGCCGGGAACAGTGCTTAACAGGTTGGCTGGAAGCATGCATGCACAATGAACTGACAAGTAAGTAAAACTTACTCGGATTCAGTCATACTCATGGTCAACTAGACCACACCTCAGCAGAAGTATGCGAGGAATAAAGCAGCAGAGAGGGGCTGGATAAGGCTAATTTAGTAGGCACTTTAGTATTGCTAATATTTCTGAGTATCTACTCAACTTCAAGCAACTTTGCAACACAGTAAGAGGTCAAGGAACCAAGCCCAGTTAAGGAGTGTTTGGGTTTGGGTGTTTACTTTGCTCATACACCGGAACAGATCGTGACATCCCTGACTCTGGAGGCTGCTTCTGTGAAGGGCAAAGGCAAATTCTTTTCTTTTTTCTTCCTTTCCTTTCCTTTCCTTTCCTTCCCTTCCCTTCCCTTCCCTTCCCTTCCCTTCCCTTCCCTTCCCTTCCCTTCCCTTCCCTTCCCTTTCCTTTCCTTTCCTGTTTTTGGAGACAGGGTTTCTCAATTTAGCCCTGGGTGTCCTGGAACTCACTTTGTAATTCAGGCTGACTTTAGACTCAGAAATCCTCCTTCCTCTGCCTCCCAAGTGCTGGGATTAAAGGTACAAGCTATCACCACCCAGCGAAAGGCAAACTCTGACCAAAAAAAAAAAAAAAAAAAAAAAAAAACCCATGAAATAAAAAATGGAGAGGTGATACTGGAGAGTACGTGCTGGCAGACGGGCTCAGCTTCTGGGGTTGGAGACTGGGGCTGGAGGGAAAGAGCACATGTCTTCGGCTTCTGCTTCCTTGACATAATCTATTTTTCTACAAAGCTACAGATCCTTGTTGGAGTTTCCTGTGAGACTCTGATTTACTGTTTCATTTGCACTCCAAGAGCTTGGCATTTAGAGAGAGGTAGAACTTGTGTGCTCTGGAAGGTAAGAAATACTCATAGTAAAGGGGCCTGTTCAATTTGAGGACTGGTTCCCATTCCTCCTTGCAGGGTTTCAGGGTCTCCCATAATGGACCATCAGCTCGGGGAGATGAGGGCTGCAGATGACACTGAACATCTGCTGCCTTTTGCCTCTGCAAACTTCTTGTTTGCTGCACCCATCTGTCACCTGGATGCTGATCCAAAAGACATTTGATAGAAGAATAAAAGACTGGTTTGGGCAAGGAAGAGGTGGCAAGTGGGAGGCCTCACGGGTAAAGCACTATAATGGATAAACAGAGGCAACTTGAGTTCCTGTGACGTGGTGCACATGGACCTTAGCTCTTTACAGGGTTCTCTCCCTGAAAACCAGAGGTTGGTGACACTGATGTAATTTACATGTGTAAAGACTCCACCAGGTTAGACAGTTTGCTCTCTGACACAGCCACAATATGTCAGAAAGAGAGCTGAGGTAATCAATGAATAGATGGATAGCAGATGACACAAAGATGCCTGATTCATGGAGCTTTTTTTGGCAAATACGCATTGAATGGATGGAAAATATTTACATGATTAGATAGTATTTTGCATGAATTAACTAACTGAAGACAAGTGAGATTATGCACAAGGATGTTGATATTACATTATTCTGATCACTTAGGTGAGTCTCTGAAACAGTGGGTCATGACTCCTTGAGGGGTCAGATATCAGATATCCTGCATATCAGATATTTATATTATGATTCATAACAGTAGCAACATTACGGTTATGACAATTTTATGGTTGGGGTCACCAAAACATGAGGGACTGTGTTAAAGGGTCACAGCATTATGGGAAGGTTGGGGAATGCTGATCTAATGGATTTTCACCTATTGGCCTTGAAATGGCCACTGCTAATTTAAAGACTTGACTAGAACCCAGATCCCTAGGGCCATTAAATTCTTAGCTGTTTGTTTAATGGCAGTTTTTCCCCAATGGTAATGACTTACCCATATGGCTACCTGTAACTCTAAAGCACTGAGACAGTGGCTACAGAAAACCACACTGGCAAAGCATGCTTTAGAATGGAATAAAGCACTCATTTATTGTGAGAACTGGTGGATAAGGAAAGTCTAAACTGAAGTTTTTTTTTTTTTTTGCTCAGAATAATCCATTAAATTTCTGCAGGATGTTAATTTGTCTCGTCATGGCATACGGGATCCCATTGGCTCACTCATGAGTCTCAGACCAATATTTCACAGAGTCAGAAATCGCTCCTCTTCCCCACACTTACCTCTGTGAAGCCCTCCAGAATCCCAGGACGTTCAGCAGCGTCAAGGATGCCAGCACGAAGAAGAAGCCTTCTAAATTGCCTTTGTTTAATGTGTTTGGAAACCAATTGCCTGTTTGGAGCAAATGTGTAATTGTTATTCAGCTGCAGAGTTGCAAGTTTCTGTGAATATTTTATTATCCTGCAGTTCATAGAGAGTTGTTTGCCTCAGTAATATTGCTTGTGTAAGAAAGCTCATTTGAAACTTCACTGCCAAAATTCATTTCATTTGCTGTTAATAGAGAAAATGATAAGCATCACACCCCAACATGCCAGGAACCTTTCTCTGGGTTGTAAGGGTAATCTTGATCATGATACTAATTTGCTTCATCTATGATTGTCTCAATTTATTTTTGTTACTGTACCTAACATATGGAATAAATACATACTGAAGGTCTGAAAACGCCTTTTTATACTTGTCCTCTGCGAATCTAATTGTAAGACCTGTCAGGTGACACATGCAGGTGATGGCTATCACACATTTGGACAAACAAGTGAATCCAGGGTTCTCTTATCCTGATGTCACTGCGCGTAGATAACATTCATCTCCGATTGATGCGGAGATTTCTTTGGACCTGATGAATAATTATTCTTGCTAAAATTACACAACAAATGATCTCCACTTCCTTATAGCACCAAGCCGAGTATTTATGCTATCACTCAGGATTCAAGGTAACTCATCCGCTACTAAGGTTTAACTTTTGTTTTTGGTCTTTGCTGTGATTTCCCCCCTTTTCTACATCTGAAATATTTATTCAATGTATGCTTTCTGCATGTGTGTGCGTATGTGCATGTTTCTGTGTGTTGGGTGCAGATACATGCATGTAGAGTATGTATAATGGAGGTCAGGGGATAACCTTGAGTGCCATTCTCTAGGCTCCTTCCAGCTTTTGTTCAAAACAGGGTCTTATTGGCCTGGAACTCTGCCATGTAGGCTAGGCTAGCCCAAGAGCTTCCGTGTCAGAACACAAAGTAATGACTCACGGTGAACCCTGACTTGGGAACTGTGGGAGAGACTCCAGGTAGAAAGGCAGAGGGCCTATGGCTCCCCATATAGTTCTTGGTCATGATTTTGTGCCTCCTGTTACAACACATTCAACTTCTAAGACATGTTCACTTTTGTTGGATGTCAGAATATAGCTAAAGAATCCAATCTTGTCAGTGGACCTGAATCTGGACATGGCCCTCTGCCTTGCTTTCATGATTTCCCAGATATAGTAGGTACCGGGCAATCATGTTTAAACATACCTGTCCTGAGAAGGTTCTGGAAGTGGGCTGTTCTGTTAACATTTAGTATGTGCTTACTGATGTGTGTTTACATGTTTTTCTGAAGTCAAACAACCTTGCTTGGATCATTGCCTCCTTTGCTACATTCATGTATAAAAGGACACTGGAACTGATGTAAGGTTGTCCCAGAATCTTACTGTCACTCCCCCGCCCCCACCCTTTCAGGTTGTCAGATCCCAGGTCTCGCAGACACAGGCCTGCATAGGCCGGGGAAAGACAACAAGCAGCACCCGAATGGAAAGATGAGAGAAGGCATGAGGATCCTTGCAGCAGGAGGCAGGGAGGGATCGATATGGGCCTAAAAACAGGGAAACTGGCACCATAGCCTGAGTCGGCGCATCAGCATCATTTCTTAAATAAGAGAGGTGTTGCAATGCCTGAAGCCCAGCTGCAAGAACGTTGGGATTTAATAACAGAATATAATCCTTGGTTTCCTCAAAGCGGCTCTCTAGATTCCAGAGTGTGAGATCTAGTTGATGAATATACAGTGAAAGCCCACAGACAAGAACGAAGTAGCCCAGCTCAGGTCCCGGTGACTTGGACATTCCTCCATATCATGATGCAAACAATAAACGGGAACCAGCCAGAGAATTTAGAAGTGCTGCGACAGATTCTTTACATGGGTATGAGCTAAATCATGAAACACAAGGAAAAAAAAAAAAAGTCTTACATGCTAAAAGGGGGCTTTTTCTAGCACAAGGTCAGAAGGGACCAAGAAAATCAAAAGTAAAATGGTCAGCTCAGCTTGAGGATGAGCACCCAGCCATCTTCCCCTCCCTCATGTGCCTGAAATCGTTCAACTTCCTCCAGTGATGGTTGGAAGGTATGGAGAGGGGGGGTGGTGACATGCTGCCTGTGCCGAAGGGAGCACCTTTGTTTTCTGGGAGTGAGGACATACGGCGCAAGTTACCACATTCTGGAAAAACAGAGAAACTTTCTAAAATTAGACAGGGCCCTGGCAAGCCATATCAAGACTTTGTTTCTGATCTTTTACAGGTGACCAAGGGTCTTACGGCTGATGGAGAGGCAGGAATGCTTATTGTTAAACAACAGGCATATGAGAGCCAATGCTGCATGCCAGACTGCCATCCGTCCCTTTAGAAAGAAAGGAGATGTTAATGGTCATGTCCACCTCCGTGCTGAGGTTGGGCCTGGACACTGGAGTCTGCCTGTGCCTACCCACCATCTCACCATTTCTGGAATTATACGCGATCACCACCACCATCTGCATTTTTGCGTGAGTTCCAGAGCCCTGAACCCAGGTCCTCACACCAGCAGGGCAAGTGCTTCACCACCCGAGCCATCTCTCCAGCTCCCTCAGTGGATTCTGATGTATTTCTTGCAGTTCAACATACTATATAGAATACAACCTTCATGGCACCCAATTTTAGTCAATACTCTAAAACCAGAAATATGGTCCCGTACGATACGGTTTAGAAGGAAAATCCGTCTTTACAGGAAAGGTCCAACTGCAGTTCTGAGTCTGGCTAGAAAAACCAATACACTTTGCCATTATGAGACTAGGAGCCCATCCTCTTTGAAGGCTCAAATGCCAGTGTCTGGGTCTCCTGCCTTAGAGCCACAGCTTCAGAGGCATTAGTAAAGGGGGTCTGGGGCTTAGCAACCCATCTCCATGCATAAGGCCTTGACCTTCAAGGCTGCACTTAGCCCATACTACAGGATGCTTCTGGAACTAGAAGGCATCTCTTGGCCTCTTCCTGGGAAGTACAGACTTTGAAGTCGGTTTTGGATCATTTCTGATAGGTTAATAACCTAAGTAAGACAGCTGTGACTAAGTGTGCCATTCCCTATTTATGTCTCCTCTCTCTCCCCTTCACAAAAGAGAGTAATAGCAAATGTCCTGGGCCTTTGGCTCTGCCTTCTTTTTCACAAAGTTTCCTGAGCCTTGGGTGTACCAGTTATGTTGTGAATTTGTTAAATTGGGGCCAGGCTCCCCTTAGTCAGGTGGCCAGCTTTATCATTCTGTTTTGATCTCACTTTGTTGAAAACCAAACCAAACCAAGCCAAACCAAAAAAAAAAAAAAAAAAAAAAAAAAAAAAGGACATGCAGTTGAGAGCTGGGGAGGAGGGGATGGATGTGGGAGGAGTTGGGAGAAAGAATGGGAGATGAATGAGATCAAAATGCATGGGATGGAATTCTCAAGGAATTACTAACAATAAATTTTAAAACTTTAACCACTACAAAGAGGCTTTATCACTAACAAAATTGTAAAGGAAAATAAAAGATTTTTCTTCTGCCATTTAACGTCCCATTGGAACATCCTTGTGTCCCAACCATGGAATGATCTTGTATCTGGAACACAATAGGTAAAGTTGATGCTGAAATGGCACACACCTGAAATCTCACTTCTTACGGGGCTGAGGCCACAGGTTCACCAGGGGTCTGAGGCCGGCCTGGGCTGCAGTGCCAGATGCTATCTTCAAAGAAAACAATTAAGTTTAGTGCTGTTTTATAGGTTATACTACCACGTTAATTAACATTATTATTTAGATTGTGTGTATATGGGTATTTTGCCCCCGCGTGTGTGTGTGTGTGTGTGTGTGTGTGTGTGTGTGTGTGTGTGTGTGTATGTGTGTGAGTGCCATATACATTCAGTACTCTAAAATGCCAGAAGGGGGCATTCTATCCCCTGGGACTGGAGTTACAAATAGTTGGGAGCTGCCATATGGTTCTGGGAATCTAAAACCCAGATCGCCTGGAAAAGCAGCTAGTGCTCTTACCCACCGAGCCATCTCTCCAGCCTTTGTCCATCTTCTTAATTTGCATACCATTATAAAGAAAATGCCTGCTTCTGTTGCTGGAGTGACACAGCGATGCCTTCATTTGGTGTTTGGATGAGTGGTTGCTCTGAGTGCCTTCCTGTATGTCTGTAAATGCACCCTGCAGTCCGTTTCTCTCTTTTCCTTTTTTATCTGCATCTCTGTGTCTGCCTCTCTGCCAGACCCGCCATGCACATATAGTGACTCAAGCTGTACTTGAGTGGAGGAGCTTGGGTGTAGGTCAAGGAAAGGTGAGCTAACATTCCGCTTAATTTCAGAAAAAAACTAAGCTACCCCACTAAGCCCGTCCAGATAGCACTATTTTCTTCTTCTCTTGCATTAATATCCCAGTCATATTTCTGTCCTTTCCATTTTACTCCAGCACTTCACGTGTCATGCGATTATACCATTTTACCATCTTGTTACTCTGGCTGGGGTAAGAGGTTGGCAAGGAGCGCGTGAAACCTGAGAATTAACATGACATTAATTCTTCTGGGAGCATGAATTTCGGTCCATAATAAGTAATTGAAAAGACTATCTTTATATTATAACAAAGTCAAATGAGGGAGAAGAATATAAATTTTGAAATATCTTTAGAGGTAAAACATCATATTTCTAAGAGATTTTGCAATTACAGCAAATACCAGCCTTCCGGGAGGCAGTACCAAGTCCCCTGGGCATGGCAGCATACTTCCATCTGTCACTGGGGACACAGCAGGCATGCATAAAAATCACTGTGACTTGGTATATAGGACTGTGGGGAAGCCAGATGGGAGGACACTGTCCTGAGAGGTTAGAGGAAGTAAGTGGAAATGCCAAGCTATTTGTCAAGCTGTTCCTTAAATATTTTGCAAGTGGGGTTACTTAAAAAATAAAATACCAGATTGCCACATTGGCTATTCTAATTCCTAATTCTATCTGTCATTTAGTTATATCTCTATCTATCTACCTATCATCTATCTATCTATCTATCTATCTATCTATCTATCTATCTATCCTCTACTT